TGAGATCTTGAGCTAACTTGCCCGCAGGGGAAGACTGACTTACTGACCTCCACTAGATGTCATCGATCCAGCAAGGCACTTTGGATGTGGGTGCCGGACTTGAGAGAACTGACTCCATCATCGGAACTCTAAAATGGTTCAAGTTGCCTCCCCAAGTCACAATGCCAACATGAAATCACCAGAGGACCCCCGGTTTTCTTCCATGTTTCTTTCCATTTGCCAGGGTAAATCATTTTGACCCTTTTTTGGGACAACGGCCACATCACCCCAACTGCCATTCGCGCACGGAGCCGCCGAGGCGCTCCACGGTGGGCACCCCCAGCGCTCGGCTCCGCTCCAAGATCTCGCGCCGCGCCTCGCGGTCTGGGCTGTGCTCGGATCCCCTGCTGAAAGCTGCTTCACTTTTAGCGGGTTAAATGCAAACCCCAACTAAACCCTAAAACCTAAGGGGGAGGCCAAAATCTAAGAAGATGGCTGGGAGCCACGAAGTATGCGTTCATCCGACTCAGCTGACTGATTCTCAAAATGGTGGACCTGTTTGGGTTGGTAGTTAAAGGGAAACCAAAGGGAAACCATCTTAGGGGAGCATATGGCTATGAACTTAAGAGCCCCTTTTGGTGAAAGACAATTTGGTGGGAATTCACAACCACGAACCCTGCGTGAGGAGTTTCCCCATCAAAGTTCAAGCCCCTGAGGGGTTCGTCCCCTTCAAAGGGGAAACCAACCTCCTGGCTCATTTCAATCGCTTGAGCAACTGGCACAGGAGGTTGTGAAAGCAACACAATCTCGGTTGAACGGGGGCTGGTCCAAGCCTTGGGAGTGCAGACCCCGAAGTTTTGTGCCTAGGGAAACATGGCGCCATGCGGAAATGCTTTGGAGGTCCCTGCCAATTCCCTTCTGTGACGGGGTGGGATCGAATGTCAAAATCGCGGGCCAGTGGCTAGTAGAGTTGGCACGACCACAAAAATCACACGGTCATAAAACCGAGTGCAGATGCAACATTTGGTGATGAAATGTGAACCAGGTCTGATTGCAACACGGTTTCAGAGCCAAGCAAGGCAAGCCGACAATGGACCCTGCTAGTCACGAATAGTAAGTACCAGGATGCAAGCGCTCTCCTTGCATTGGCTCTGAATCAGAAACTATGTGCTCTGGGGTACAAGTAGGTTCAGTGTCCAATACCGGAAGAGAGCGGGTCGGAAACTCGGGTGATCCACGGCGGAGCATGCCTATGTACTTTGTGCACACGGTCACAGACATGGGGTGTGGTTGACACATGACATTGGCAACGAACATGTACGAGCATGCTACCAAGTTGCATGATGTGAAGTCTTCCAAAATATTGTCCAACATATTTATCCGTAATGCGAGCCCCGTATTGATAACCCCCCCCCTCAAATTCAGAAGGTTTTTGGGGGTCAACATTTCATAAGGTTTTTGGCCTGCCTCCCCTGAATAATTGTATTCTGGAGCAAACGCAACGTGCCCCGTCCCCCAAGCCCATGGACTTTACGGCATGTCACCCTCCCTCAATCCCAACTCCCGGCCTCCGCATCTTTCCTGGGGGGCAAGGTGTCTGGCATCTTGAGGCAAAACATGGGTCAGCTCCACAGCTAGTTTAAATCCATTTCCAAGGGTTCCAGCCGATCGCGCTTCCTGGGAGCCAACTCTGTGTGAATCCAAGAGGACACCCCAACCGCAGGTACACCACGGCAACTTCAACCTCCCCTGGTTTCTGACGAGAGTCTTCAAAACAGGCGGAGGGTGAAGGGCGAATCCTGTGAATGCCAAGAAACAATGAAAACAAACCAAAAGAGCTTCCCCCTCCAAAAGCCACACCCATCCACAGTGGTGTTGAAGGCGTCCCCTGTTGCTTGTTTGTTTTTTTGGAAACAAAAGCTCACTGGCCATTTGGGGTTCAAAACCCATTTGGGTGTGGCTCAAAATTAAACAGGAGGGGTTACGCAGGTGTTGGCCCATGTTTCCACTTACCAGGCTTCCATTTTGGTACCGGTTTTTTGAGCCAGACAAAACCAATCTAGCTCGGAGGGGCCCTGCGTGTTTCAAGCGCCAGGCGGCCAGGCGTCTGCTGCAGAGTGCTGGGCCCCTGGTTGGCCTGGATCCAGAGGCGCTTGAACTTCCGCTTCTCAGCGCGCAAAGCCAACAGCACCGGGTAGACGCCGTAGAGGTAGTCACTCCTCGAGAGCCAAACGCGTGCGGGGTTTCGGGGGGGGGGTTGGAGAAAGGGGAAGTGGGCTGCCTACCTCATCTTTTGGCAAACTACATCTGTGCTTCTTTGTTGCAGTTCCAGGCCATGTTCAGTGAACCTTAGATAGGTCTAAGCTATCCTCGCTGACTCCCTTTTTTCAAATCGGACTTCATGCTTGTTGCTGGGAAGGTAAACTGGAGTCTTCCTGTGTTCAGCGTTCGTGGTCGCTGTATGCAAGTTGCGTTTGTCATCCATCCTCAAGTGGGCAAACAGTGTGAACCAAGGAACGATTCGTGCCAAAGAATAGCTTGCAAGCAGCAGCTCACGGTTAATATTCAGCCTAGGCCGAATTGTAAGCTCAAACGTATGCACGTATTATGGTCAGCAAAAATCTTAGTACAACCGGGAAAAACAAACAATTTAAATGCCCAAGGGAAGCCTCACAAACGCCTCCACCCTGTGAGATTTCTGGGACGAGAGTGCAAGGCACATCTTCAGATTATCGGCTTCCTCGCCTCAAAGTCCTGCAAACAAGGTCGCTCGTTTAGAGTTCTGGGGAACCTTCTGGGTGGTGCCAGCCTTGTACGTGGTACCAGCCTCCTCGCAGTTGTACAAGCAAACCAAAAGAGACAACGGGAAGCCAAAGCGACCAAGGGAAACCTTCAGGGAAGCACACCGGAAAGCTCAAGAGACACCAGGAACCCTGTGACAACCCCATCTGGCACTGTGAAACCCTGTGGCAATCCAAACAGGGAACCAAAGTGAAACTTGATAGGCGGGTGAACGAAAGCTAGCTAGGCCAACAACATGTACGACCCAGGGGCTGCCAAGGCATCAAACACTGCAAACTTAAACGAACATCCAGAAAGAGATGAAGGCCCAAACTTCGACGTCCTAATGAGACAGATTCTCCTCGCGCGGGGCTAATTGAACCCTTCGAGCGGGGGAAGGGGAAGAGGGAGGGTGTCCCAAGTAAACTGCTCTGGATTCCTCGAAGACAAAGCTTAGAGAGCTCCCGCTAGCTCGCTTTCGTGACCAGTTGCTTTCTGCTCCCCTGCTAAAAGTTTAACTTTTAGTGGTTTAATGGAAATCCCATTTGTTGGCAAAAAGTAAAAGTCCTAACATCCTTTGGCAAAATGCAGCAAAGGGCTGCCACAGTCCATCTATCCCAATTCTTCCAGGCGTCGCCCCCCAGCGCTCGCCCATCTCTGGTGCTGGCCCCTCACCCCGCGGCCGCGATCGCAACGGCGGGCGGCTGAAGCTTGGTCGGGAAGGGCCATGGCTGAAAGCCAAGGGTAACATCGAAGCGAATCGTCGCGTTTTATCTGGGGGCACCCCCAAACTGGTCGGGTGTGAAGTTGAAAGCCCCCATTCAAAGGGCATGCTTTACATGGGGATTGATGCCCATTCACCATTTTACGGGTATATTCCTCATTGAAATTCAGAGCCGTCAAAAAGTTGTTTAGGGTTGGTGCAGTTTGAGCGGAATCTGAGGGTCTTGTTAGTGAACTTTTGTGTTGGTATTAGTCTTCCTTTTCTGCAAAACATTCAGATCAAAGGGGTCATCCAAGTTGCACCTTGCTGCTACGCGGATTTGCCCTGAATTTCCTGAAGATTCCAGGCATCCACGCAGCCACACTTCAGGCTAAGGGAAGCCGGAGTTTTGGTAGCCATGCTACATCTTCTCCACATGTGCAAAGGTGCCCAAAGACTCAGACGCTGTGCTCAAAGACAGAAAGGCTTGGGGATCTTGAACTGAGATGGCTGCATCATCTGAGTACAGTCTCTTTCAAGCATGGGCAGTATCAGGTTCATTGAATCTAGTTTCCCTTCATTCAAATATCTGTTCTTTCAGAAAACGATGCAATACCCTTATATATATATATATTTAAGCTGACCCATTACAAACGTCGGCAGGAATCATATTTCTACCGGAGCAAGGTCATTACACTTCCAGCATCCTGGACAACTCCGATCGCTTCACAATCCATTCAGGTCATGTCACATCCACGACTCACCTCTCGCAGAAAAAATAATAAACAGGGGACTTGGCACATTTCCAAATCAACTTATTCCATCTTTTGATCTCAACATGGCCCTTCGAAATGGCCGCGACTTGAGTTGCCCTGAAAGTTGGTCAACGTCACATGACATGGCGGGGAGGTCAACAATTGTGTCAGGTTCACGTGCTTGTCAAAAGCATCGCTGAGACGCAGTCGCACGTTGCATAGGATAATTCACAAGAAGTGCTTCTCTGGCAACACTGTAGTTTGTTCAGAAGTGTCAAAGAGAAGCGTCAAGCAAATATCTTAGCCAACAGTTACTCTCAGAAGCGTTGCAGTAGAGTCACTTGAGTTACAGTACTTGGAGATTTAGCAAACAGGTCACAGGAAGTTGTCGGTTAGGAGAACCGCTGGGAAGCAAGCAGTTGCTGAATGTGGCTCAGAAGTGTCAGCCCGTATTGCGCTGCTCGCAAGCCCTACGATGTGATCCCAATGTGAGCAGAGTGTTGTGCTCGTCGAAAAAGATATTTATGATGCTCATACTTCTTTCGCATTGTCGTTTGGAAATCTCAGTCAAGAGTGTCACCCAGAAAAGCTGGTTCTGCGCGTGGCTGAGAAATGTGAAGTCCAAAAGGGCATAATGCACACACAGCCCCCCAGCTTCACCCGTGTGTTAAGTTCTACCCGACCATTTCGCTCGCCTCCAAACAAGAAGGGTCGGAGCTACCAGTGGTGATTGCCATAGGCTACAATCCGCGGTCCTTGCGTCAACCACTGGGTTGAAGTGCCTGCCGCCACTGCGCCAAGGCCTCATCCCTGCCTCAAGACGCTCCGACTCTCTCAGATCTCAGATGTTTCAGGGTTCAAAATGGGGAGGATCCCTAATCCGTAGGACACCACACCAAACCAGACATGCTGTCATGCTGCAAAAAGCAGTAGCCAAGGCTTGCAAATAGACCATGCATCAGCTTACCGTTTGGTTCCCAACGATTTCAAGCAACATTAATCGTCTCCATGGAGCGAGGTGGGGGCTGGAGACTCTGGTGCTGTGGAAAGGATCGAACATCAAGGCTCAGCTATAGGGTAAATTGTATAAAACGGATGCCAGTGCAACAACACCAACAACAGCAGATAACCCTTAACAGCAAAGCATGATATCCGGACAGTGCAAACAACAACAACTACCTGTTACCTGCCACACACACACATCTTTGACATGATCAGAACAGGTTGCGTGGAGAAGGCAGTCGTATATATATATATATATTCTATATGCATATATATGTATAACTACATGAGTACAGACAAATGCTTTTCACATCTGACACCCTTTCATCAAGTCGTGCAGCTCTTTCTTCGCCCCGGACCTGGCCTGGGATTGGCCAATGGAGCCACTCTACAGGCTCATCGTGCAGGCGTTGGCAAAAAGAAGGGGATAGGTTCAGTAGGTGAAAGCGCAGTATTTCAACTTTCTGAAGCCCAGGCTTCGAAATCTTACCACGGTGGACACTTATGGGGGTTGCATTGCTTTGCCTCGATGTCCTTTGCCGACAAATCCCGTCGGTCGAGAATGTTGTTCACTTGCATTCTGCTTTGTCTGCAACATTGGGCAAAGCATCACATGGTAGCTCAGGACAAGGGACGGCGCTTCACTGGCAAGTCTATATCTCCTCATCCTCTTTTGTTGCCTGTATCTTCTGGCTGTTGCCGTGCGATGCGCGGAATGCCAGCAAATCAACAATCACCGCACAGCTTGCAGTCACACACCCGAGGTTCCCTCAAGCATGTGTGGCACCTCCTACATGCAGGAAACTATCTCCTTTAGCAAAAAGCCTCGGCTTGTGCTAGTGGGCCAGTCTGCTGTGAAGTTGGTATCGTCTCACATGTAGTGACTCCATGGCCGTCTGGCTTGTTCATCTAATGTCCTCGCCATGGAACAAGCAGTCTTCCACTTGCAGCAATTCTTGTGTGAGTATGAGCATCTGGAGAGGACAAGATGTCGCCACGCCTCAACACTCAAGTCAGTTTGACCAAAGACTCACTCAAAAGCAGCCACTCAAAACGCAAGTTTGTGGCACGCAATGCAAGCGGGCGCGGCACCGGCTTCCATTGGGGCGAGCCAGGAAAAGCGGGAATCCGCGAACTGTGCGGCCCTTGCTGCAGCCATTGCTGCGAAGCCGACTATGTCCCTCTTCTTTGAAGAGAAAGTTTGCCTAGGGCAATGCAAAACCCAGCTCTAGACTCTGGAGGCTCAGCACGAAGTCAGTTGTCGAAGTAGGCTCCCTGGCTGACTCACCAAATCTTGAACAACCCATTCACGCGCGGAAGCATCCACTACTTTGGAACAACTGCACATATGCCACCTCAGCCCGCAAACCACCCGAAACCAATGCCAGCAAAGTATGGGATGTGAATACACAGTGAGGGAATTGAGCCAAGCCAGCATTGAAAGCCTGCTGTGTGTTTACTTGTACCAAAGAAGGCAGGCCCTTTGGGCCTGTCCTTAAATTCGAAGCCACAATGTGTGCGCTTTCATTTGAGGGTACCCTTTTGGGGTGGTTGTTCAAGGGACATCAAAATGCAAGAACATTTTGAAGGTCCCATTGTGGCACAATATGTTGGCGTCCCTAAGCAAGACCGCTGTCCATGCACACCCAAAGACCCTCACCATCCATGGCAAACAATCCCACCAACATCACCAGTGCTGCGGACTGCGAGCACCACCCAAAGGAGATTCCAACCACAGAAGTACTCAAAGGCAGAATTCTCTGGATTTCTCCCGTTGCCGTTTACTGGGGTTTGAAGCTGGCGCTGTAGGTTCCAAAAAACGGGAAATTGCGAAACCCCTGAAAGGTGGTGTTGAAACCGCCAAGATCTGGGGACGTGACCACAGGACCCTTGGCTCACTCTGAACGCCCCGCGAGCCTGGCACCGCGGGGATCGGAACTCGATCATCTGACCTTAAGCTCATCTGCGAATTGCGAAATCCAAATGAGCTGCAGACAAAATGCGCTGGTTACTGTAAAGAACATGGGAAAACTCGAATTCGCGCTGGATCTGTGGTTGAAATTTGGTGAGGGCCGGTGCTTCTCGCGACGCGAGGGCGCTCTTAGCCACAGCGAGATGTCAAGGTTCGACTTTGCGGCAGTGGAAATCAGAATTCGCAGGCTCGATCCCCAGTCTGTGCTAGTGTGTTTTAGGGGGGGGAGGGGACGGGGGCCCTGCGCTTGTGGTTGGATTAAGGGCAGTGTCTCTAGGCTTCCTGGGCTTTGCGTGCGATTCTCAAAACAGCCGAGTTCTACTTCAACTGGGCTGCTTTGCCTTTTGTTTGCCTCAGACTGATTCAGGCCGATGTGTTTTTTTTGCTTCAGGCTACTTGTATGTGTCTGGGGATTGCCATGGGGTCTCTGCCTTGGGTTTCAGCACCACCACGTACTGCGCGTTGGGAGCTACCCTGATGTTTATATAGCGTCAGAGCGATGCGCACAAGGACACGCAAGCACACGCAAGCACACGCAAGCACAAGCAAGCCAAGCAAGCAAGCGAGCGAGCAAGCAAGCCAGCCAGCCAGCCAGCAAGCAAGCAAGCAAGCCAGCCAGCCAGCAAGCAAACAAACACATCCACGCAAGCACGCACACAAGCAAACATAACACAATCACATAAATACAAACAAGGTCACAACATGCCAACAGCATTTCAGCACCAACGCACCCTTCAACATACACACACAAACAGGTACCAACATGTACCAATACATAAAAGTAAACAGCACACAGCCGTTTATGGATATAACGACAAACTGCAGAAGCATGAACACAACAAAACAAACAACATGCAAACGCAACCACGCACTCACAACACAAGGCTTGTTCAGTGAGCTGTTCCAAAGTTATACAGTTCTTGTGTGAATTGCAAGAGTGCATATAAAGCTTTCGGCCAGTACGGAGTGCCCCAACTACCCTAGTTCGCGAAAGCAGCAAATCCCTCTGGGGCCAGACTTGCACGGAACCCCAAAACCTTGGACCTGGGAAAAGGACTTGACCCCCAACTCCACGATTAAACACAGAAGCAACATGGAAACTGCAAGTTGCTCCAACCTCTTAGGTAACGCCAAGAAACCAACATGGTATGAAGGGCTTCTACCAAGCAACCAAAAACACATGTCGAGATTCGAAACAGGGGTCAAGGGGCCAAACCAAAAGGCCAGGGTTTGCGGGACTAAAGGCCGGGCTTCAAGAGGATCTCAGTGGGCAACTCTCCGTCATCGCCGCCTGGGCAAAGGTTTGGGGTTAGGGGTGGTTAGGCCTAAGGTAATTGCGTATAAGTGGTATAAGTCTATAGCTTTGGGCAAGCTGCCCCAACAACAAACAAGGTTTGGCGTTCAAACACTTGGGTAAGAGTGTTGGTGGGAGTGATAGGAATCTACAGGAGGTCCTATATTGAGCCAACTCTTCAACAAGGCTAACTTCCGGTCGAATTTCCCGAAACCGGTTTCTGCAATTCAAGCAGGGTTGTTACGAGGCAGGCATCTGGTGCTGCCGGTGCCTGCATGGAGTCGGATTGGTTTATCGTTTTCTTCAGCACATAGAAAAAACAACCACACACACACCTCTGTGTTGGTGTGTGCGCGTGTCTGTGTGCTTCCGTTGTTAAAGGGCACCCTCTGCAGGTTGGATTCAAAGGAAGCCAAAGGAAAGTCACTATGCCTATGCTGGGCCCCCTAGTTTGACGCATACCCACGTAGACTCATATGGAGTATTTGATTACAGTAAGTAGCGGTTTGCTTTTTGCGCAGTGTGTGCAACATGAACATCCCATTCTCCCGACGCTGACAGTGAATCAAACACGAATATCCACCTTAACGGAACTTTCTATCTGACTCCTTTGAGGCACAAGTGCAACCCTCGAGCAACCGAATTCTGCAAACCCATGCCGAATTCATCTAATCATCAAAGCCGCAAGCACCTGAACAGCCTGCTTGAGGTTTTTCAAACATCTTCACAGCTGAGCCATGCACATGTTTGGAGTTTGCAACTTCACACATTTCTTGGGGGAGGAAATGCAGTTGGCACAGCTTGCCTTGTGGATGGCTAAGACCTGCACCAGTTGGGGTGGATAAACCCTAAGGGGATAAACCGCCTGCCAACTGGTGGAGGGTTTTGTCCATCCTCAGTATCAATACAAATTCCCCAGCAGGCAAACAAATAACATACACCATCTTGTTACGAACAAGAGGCTCCTCATGGCAAACGAATTTGACCAGCGCATGCGACAGCATTGCTCCGAAAAGCCATCAAACTGGACTCCCTGCAAACACGAAGACTTTCCTGCAAAAACCAATAGTAAGGGTAGACAAATGGCTCCTTTAAACAAACAAAATACACTTTGACCAACATGTGCACCCTTGGGTATTGGTCAAGTTGTTCTAGATTAAAGCAACCAGAGGTGTCAAGCCAAGGACACTAAAACATGAAGCCTGCGAGGCACACAACCAGAGACGTCAAGCCAAGGACACTAAAACATGAAGCCTGCGAGGCCCTACAAATGGCCTATTTTGGGATCTTGGGTTCAACCAATTTGAGCCCTCCGCACGGTTGAACTCTGTTCACGCTCAGCGCATTACAGGGGAACCAGCGGATTGTGGCTGGAGCAACTGATGTCCACCGCCTACCAGAGTGGATGCTTCCCTGAAAATGGATGGACATGGCGGGTTTTCTGGCGCGATCCATTGACAAGCCAAAGGGGTCCCTTATCTTGAGAAACAGCTCCTTGCTTGAAAGACATGGCATCCTCGTGTCTCAAATCGCTGCACTGGATGTCCAAGGCAGTCTTGTGCATGTGGAATTGTGGCTGCAAACAGGGTTTCCTTGCATGTCTTGCATCCCAAAATGGAATCGCAACACCAAGCGGCCTAAACGGTGATGTTCAATAATTCAACCACCCGAAAAGGGAAATGCCAGGAATGCCCGTGCCATGGTTGACCCTCGAAAGGTGCCCCGGCCGTCTGGCTGACCAGGTTTCCTCAGGCAAAACATGCGTCTGGATGCGGAAACTGGGTGCCCCAGTGTGATACCAAAGTGGGATTTGGCCATCGTACCCTCAGTGAACATCCCAATCCCCACTAAAAAAGACTAAAATGGGTGGTGCACCTACCCCAAAATGGTACCATTGGTTTTGACCAACAGCCATTTCCATGCCTATGACTTGGGAAGGTTACCTTGAGAGAATCTCAACAGCATCACGGAAAGCCGCGAGCTAAAAACAAAGCCTCATTTCCACCCCATGGGTCTCTGCTTTCCCAACAGCCTATGTCGCTCATGTAGTGGCAGCCCATGTCATCCCCGTTGAGCAGCGCGGGCCATGCTGTGCTGAAGAAGGAAAAGTTAAACCTGCGAGCAAGGAATCTTCGTTGGTGGTAGCTTCTTCCGCCGAAACGTAAAGTTGTTTGCCCAGATAGGATCAAACTCTGAACCGCAAGCACCAGTCATCCGTGCCCCGAATGCAGAATTATCAGGCTCAGGACCCTGGATCCTGCCAGTGTGAGAGTTGGCAATGAGAAAAGCAAAGAGTTTCTATTGACGCTAAGTCACACGCGTTTGGTTGCTTCGTAGAACTGGCCAAGTCGTAAAGAGTGCAAACTTGCTACCTGACGGATAGGAATTGTTTTGTTCGCATTGTTTTAAATAATCCGCGATCGTCATTAACCACACTTCAGCCTACGAATCAACCTGTGCTTATCACCAATATTGAGGTGGCCATCGTGAACATCAGAACTGTGGCTATTGTCCCACGGTATGCAGCGTCCTATGTTTACAATTGCATCTAACATAGCGCGTATTGTATACATTTTATGCAAATGTGTGAGATCTGATTCATGCAGACAAAATCCTTCCGGACAGTGGCCACCCTTCTGGAGGCATCAACACGTCAAATCGGTCGGCGTCGCGGAATCAATTTGCCAATAAGGGCCCGGCCGGTAGGGCAGCACGTGCTTGGTGATTCCATTCTGCCGTTTCGGTACTACCTAAGCGGAAAGGAAAGGAAGGTTCAGCCTGCCGCGGACAGAGAAAAACACACACATACACATACACACACACACACACACAGACACACACACACACAAACACATACGCAGACACATACACATGCACATCCACAGACACACACGCACACACGCACACACACACACACACAAACACACCAAACCACCAACAAAAAAAAACAGAAAAACACAAAGAGGCCAGGCACAATGTCACAGCCATCCCTAGTCTCAGCCCATGACTCGCTTGTTCCGTGGCTGCAGAAAGAGGGAGAAGTACTCCTGGGCAAACGAATGTGACATGCACACTCCCAACGGGATGGAGCCATGGCTGGCTCGAACCCTCACAGTGGTTCTCCAAGGGATCCAAAGGGATCCAGAGCGTCCCTGACCAAGTGAGGTCTTCTGACCAGTACGCTTTCTGGCGATGGTCGGGTTCTCTGCTTTTATAAAGCCGCTCAAAGACCATTGAGTTGGGGCCCCTAGTGAGACACCATCCTTGCCTGCACTTCAGGCTACAGGTACTCTGATCAGTTCGCTGCATGTTTGCTGCGAGGACACCCGATTCCTTCGCAGGAAGGAACAAGACGTGGCCGGTGTAAGTATCTGGTGAAAGGTGCATGACTTGAGCGATGGGCGCAGAACAAGAACAAGCTAGGCTGATGCATATGCTGCGGAAGCTTGCGTGTAACAATTGAACAGGTAAAGTGATTGATTGCTTGGCCCTAAAATGCAACCGACTTTTGCTCTGTGACAGTCGTGCTTTGGCACTGCCGATCCGAAAAATAGATCGAAATTTGTTGAGCTGGTGTGGCTGCTGCTCAACAAGGTGGCCATTTCTTGTCAAACGGAATGCAGAAACTTCAGTTACTACTATGTTCACTGCAAGAAGAGGTGAATTTGTTCTTTTGGGGGCTGCAACAGAACAGAAAACAGTGCACTCCTACTAGGAAGCACTTGACACCTTGGCCCAAGAAACACGGTGCTATACAATTCTATAGTCTATATATATATATATATATATAAGAGCCAGGCAACCGCCAGCACAAACAAAGTGTGGTGACCTCATGAGCAAGAAATTATTCACATGCCTTCAGCGAGCCTAGCTGCACGTAAGAACAGGAAAAGTAATGCATAAATCGAGGGATGGCCTGCGCTAAGCAAAAGCATCTTCGGGTGACCCCTCTGTAAACTGAATGCATTGGTTCAAGGATCTTGAACTGCACCGTCTTGTCACGCATGGAATCTGTACTCTGTCAGGCTGCCTAACGCCTGCGATTTACCCCGAGGGTGGTACCTCCGTTGGGCCGTGCTATCACTGGGCTGTGCCCTGATACCCTGCATGCGCTGCCTTGTCGGATTCATGGAACTCGTGGTTGGCTGCAGCATGAAGAACGTGATGGCGATCATTCCAGCCTGCTTCCTGTACGGAGACTCAACGGTCAGGCAACAAGCCAAGGGCTGGAAATGGTGCACTGGTCTCGGGGCAGAGTGGAGCAACACCCAACACTCTTGACTCTTCGTTCTTCTAGTAGTTGTAAATTGCTTCCCACGAAAATTACTATCCCACCAGTCCAGGTCGGACCTAAAATGGCGCTGCTCGGTACCAGTAGAATTGAGCTCCCAGGTTCCTGTGTCAAGGCAAGGAAGGTCAGGGACACTCTTTGCGATATGCGCGTGGGACTTCCATCTCATCAGCATCACCCTCAGAAGGATACAAAACATTTTCGAAAATTAACCCCCTAAGAAATTTGCTGGCTAAGCTAGACTGCAACTACACAGGCGCCAAAAAGTCAATCCGACTGAGCGCAGGCCCTCAAGCAGGCTGCCGGCTGAGGCGACGGCAAAAACTCCAACAAGCAGAAATGGAACCTGGCGCCTGGACCTTTGCCAAACAAACTGGCAAGCCACCACATCTTTGAGCACCGACGAGATGCTACAGCCAAGCGGCCCAAGAAGCCCGACGCAAACGCCCAAGAAGGCGGCGGAACTTGTCGACAAAGTTGCTTGGAGCATTTCCAAACCTGGTTCTGAACATGTCGCGTGAGCAGCGTGAACTGATCTGCCCGGTTCATTGCTTGCTTTGGCTTCGACCCACGCCTCAGCCTTTGGACAGTTGCAGCTGTGCTGGCAACGGTGGGCGTGTCAAGCTTCGGCCTGTCACAAGCTCTGTCATGGCTGCCTGTCACATCTGCCTGTCACTGGCGCTGCTGTCACATCTCTCGGCGGGCCGGTTGCGGCGGTCGGATGACACTTTAAAATCTTTCAATCCCAAACCGTCGGGGGGAAAATCTCATACTGTGGGTCGCCCTGGCCAAGCCTTCTCCGCAAACTCTGGCTGTCCAGAACAGGACCTGGCTGCAGTCTTTGCTCCACTTGTTTCGGGCACTTAAACGGAAGTGCACTATCCATGTTCCCTCAAATGAAAACAATTATGATCTCGAAAAAGACCCCTTATACACTTCAACGATTGTTGAAAGGGCATCCTTGATACTAGTTCAAGGGTTGATTCCTGCATTGCGTACAAAGGGTCGAACTGGCCTGGCTCCTGAAGTGGAACATCAGTCAACCTTGCAACAAAGCAACAATAGCAGTCGAGTGAAATGACGTGCTTCATCTGCAGCCTTGGGGATGGTAGTGACAAGTGCCCTCATGCAAGATAGCTTACACATGAGATGTGATGATCAACTTTCTGAGGCAGTCTGTGAAACTTCAGCTACATTACAATGTCATAATGGATAAGAAGGTGTGCTTTTTGGTAAGGTCAGAATCATGTTCTCCATCAGTCCTAGGAGTCCTAGGCACCAAAACAGGACATCACATCAATATTGAGGGGACTTCACACACACACACACACGCACACGCACATGTGAGAGGGGAACACACCAAGGGGACAGCTTGAAACCAGCGTGGGAAGGATATACCAAGACGGCGGAAACATACGGAAACCCTCCAGAGCTCAGGAATCAAACTAAAAAGGCCAGGTCACAGGCACTGTCAGGCCACATCTTGTTTTCAATGCCGCTTGCCAGCTGCATGTGAACCAAGCTCAATAGAAGGGGGGTATCACAACTCACAAGCGCTGAAACACATCACTCTTGTCCGGGCAAATTACTATTGACAAACACCACAAAGTCATCCCAAACAAAGGTATCTGGCTTTGCCAGGGCTGGTGAGCTCCTTACTTCGCGACTTTCATCCCACCAGGCGCGGCACCGGCCCCCAAAGCCAGATTTCCTGGTCCTTCCGAAGGTGTCACCTGGGCTCTGAGCTGAATGTGTCAGTCCTTGGTCTCAAAACAACCCAAAAGGCGAACTCAATCAACATTGAAAACCACAAATATGTGCCAAAGTAGGGGCTTGGACCCCCAAAACGCGGGTTGTCCTTTTGTTCCCCTTTAAACCGACCTGAAATGTGGTACCGTCAGAATAACACACACACACATACGTATACACGCATGTGACATGTGGAGGTTTGCGGGCACCAAGAGGGGCATAAGGGCTGCTGTGTCCATGGGCAATCCTTGCGGTCCCAGTTGCTGGATCTCACATGAAGAACACCCAATCACACCAAACCACGAGATGCCGGTCTCTTGGGCAACGAGGAAACTCCCAGAACCCGAGTCAAAACCGATGCATTGGCAGGTCTTGCATGCTGCATGCCGCCCATCCCTTTTCAAAGCTCCCATGGCCCCCGTTGCCGATCTGCGTTGGACAAGCACGTGGTACGGTGTATGATAGATTCCTAAGCACGCATCCACAAGCTGGCCACCTTGGCGCGCCAAGCTCGCAGACTCTTTGGAATGGCTCCGTTGACCGTTCTCACAATTGTGTGTGTGTGTGTTTCTAACGACCCCCCCCTTGTTGGTTGGTGTTACAGTGAAACTGAAAGAAGCCAACCGTTTCATGAAGCCTCTTAGTTTGAAACACGCTACTTCGGGGGTGTGCCCGGCATGGGTAACTACTGTTGCAACCCTGAAGGGTCAAGCAGTCAGCAGCGCCGGCTTTTGCAACGTGCAAGGCAACCAGCATCTAAGACTCTGTACAAAGCGCGAGAGTGGCCGGGAAATCTGCAGAGGCGTTCAGCTGCGTGCAGCTAAGCACGCCCGGTTTTCCCACTGGGCTCGCGCATGATGCCATGTGGGTGGTTCGCAAAACGACTCTTCCGGAACAAGCATATGTCCTAAACTTCACTGACAGGCTTTGCAAAACACCCACTCGTGCCAAGCAGGCACAAAATCCAGTGCCTCTTGCCTGTGGCAAGACTGCATACACTGATGGCCTGCTTTCTGGTCAGGTTGGCTCCGTTTTGTCCTGGGCAGGGCTCCCTGTCTCCGGCTCGGCAACCAGATGGAATCTTGGAGCCTTCATCCGGCTTGGCTCTGGCTTTCAGCATCCCTAGGCCTTAAGACTTGCTCTGATCAAGCCCGATCTAGTCCTCGCAACGTGTGGTTTTTGGACATCCCGTCCCCATTCCCGTCGACTTTGACCCGGTCGGTCCGTCACGCCATGGCCTTGGACAACCAGTCCAAGCCTTCGCAAATCCCTTCCCCTGGCAGGCGACTTTTTTGGCGAGCCGATGTCTGAGACGCAGTGGAAAAGCATGGAGCTTCCAACGGCCAAGAGAAACCTCTGATTTCTTGGTATCATGGTTGATCATTTTTTACCGGCAAATATTCACGGTTCGAAGAATGACTTCACCCCTACATGTATATGTACTATTTGCTTTAAACTCGCTCATCATGCAGCAATCGTAGCAGATTCAAATGCATCTAGCACATGGAGCAAATGCGTCAACCCTTCTGAACAAGTTGCACTGTCCCCCCCTTAGTCGAGGCCTCCGCATGTGCTTCTTCAATTTCAAAACCAACGCGAAGCGACAATTTCTCAATGCAGAACAAGGGAAACAATGCTGTAGAGATACAAACGGGAAGATGAAAGATCACAAGCAGCGCAAAAGGGCAGCCTATGGCAGCCTCAAGGAGCACAAAACGATAAACAAAAGGGATACAACTACGTGAAACCAGCAATCAATACAAACGCGGAACAAAGAGCAACAAACAGAAAGGAAAAAACCAACAGAAGAAACATCACATATTGCATTGACGAAACCTCGTCTTGCCTTTTGGGGCGCAAGTGGGCTGCACAAAGATCTTCCGCCGCAGATCCGGCACGCCCAGCTTCTCTGTGACCTCCCGACGTTGATCGATGTCGTTGGCGAAATCAGGTGTTGCCCACAACCAACAAACCCGGTTGGTTCAGGGTGGGTTTCGGGTGGGTGGGTTTAGGGTTGGCTTGCCGATAGAAACCAACCCCGCAAACAGCTCCCACTCGACTCTGGCAGGGTCGAGCAACTGAAGAACTACCAATAAACAAAATTCATCCAATCCGAATTTCTACCTGGTAAGAGGCTTGAAGCCATGGACAGGGTTGTGCGCGAAGGCCTTTATAGAAAAACACGCCCCAACGGCAAACGGATACTAAAACTTGGGTCGCTGGATTTCTCCGCAATTGTTCGACTTCCAGGACTGCCATATTTCGTCTTTTGTTTGAGTCGGTACCTTTTGTGGATGGTGTGAAAGGAACGCCAAAATCAAACCGGTGGGGTGTATCCCCAGAGTTGAACCCATGCTGGAACAACCAAAGCTTGCCCAGAACAGCGTGCGGCAGGTTCCAACCTCATGAATTAGGGCTGATCGCGAAAAATGATCTCCTCACAACCAAGAAAGAAACAAGGAACCCACATCAACCATCCTGTACGCCAAACGGGCCATTGTACAAACATCAAATTAGGTCCATGGAATGTGTTCACCTCCTGACACAAAGGACTCGAAGGGAGGAACCGTCATGGGAGAGATCGCAATCCCTCTCCGTGAGGTCGCAACCCCCCGCGAGGTCGAGGTCAAAGCAACCCACCCATCGCCCGGCAGACCGGGTCTGTCGCCTCTGGAATGGGCATGGCGTCTGCGAGGTCCTGCTTGTTGGCCAGGACCAAAACGGCGGCCTCACAAAAATGAGCCGGGGTCCAATCTCAGAGGATGCCTTAGTACCTCCTGAGGATGGATTTGGGAGAACCAGGGGCGAAGTTCTCCCTGGAATACATCAAGCAACCCTCTCAGAATATGTTGGCCATGCCGGATTGGAAAGTTGTGAAAGGAATCTCGGATGCACTGTCTTCATACACATCGTGCTCCGAACCAAAAGCAGAAGTCCAAGAGCTCGGATTGTGTCATTTTGAGGGATCCATCAAACGCTGTCAAATACAACATGAGGTCATGGAATCATCCACACTCCTCATGTTCAAAATCATCCACACAACTCACACACGAGTAGAGTCCTTTTTGGGTGTATCGGCCCTATACATTGGCACATGCCTCCGTGGAGCCTCCGCGGGTGTGTAAAACCATGGACGGGTGCCTACGCGAGCCTACGCCGCAAAAGCCCACCCGGAGTGCCCATGCAGACTTATCTCGAGCGCCACTCTGAAGTTTGTGTAAGGCAAACAAAACACGCGAACCTGCCCTTTGCGCGATTTCTTGAACAGCTTAAGCGGACTGCCTACGCGATCGTTCTTCCCAGAAATGCCCATGCCTCCGTGGCATAAAGAGTCCGCCCGAATTCTAAGGGAATACCAATGCAACCAAAACTCTGTTTACATATTATGTTCTGAGCCTTTGGTCTCCCTGGTGCCTGACACATGTTTTGGCGACGCATTGCCGCAGTAGCACAACTGGAGAGCACTGTGTTTTGCTCCGCGCAGAATGCAACATGCCCATCAAGCACAATCGACGCTCCGTCCAACTGAGGCTTGAGAAACAAGGTCCTTCAGGACACGCTGTGCATGATAACCCATATTGACTGGTCTGCAGAATAATCCCTTCAACTTGACAAATAAACAGAATACTGACGCGGACTTCTCTGTCAAACGGAATCATCTCTGAAAGACGGACTTAGGTGTTCAACCTACATAGCAAGAAGGCTATACCCAGGATTCTACTCGGAGCAACAGAGGTTGGCTAGCACGGTCGCAACTTACTTGCTAAGCAGATTGGACATCCAAGTACGTATGAACGACTCCTGCGCGTCCCTTGCTTCTTTGCTTCTGCCAGCAAGCCAGCATCTTGAACTGAACACGGGTTCAATCTGGCCTGGGCAAGCTCAGGATCTCTCAGCATGTTCCAGAGCTCCTGCGACATGGGAAAAGTGTGAAGCTACTTCCTGCTCCATGCGCTTTCATGCTGATTCCATCTCAAAACGGTTGAAAACGCAAGCCGGATTTATACGTAGTGTCCCTGCCAACATCAGGGGGCGTTGGGAGACTTCCGAGACGCCCACATCTCTTGCCCAAGATAGTGTGTTGTTCTGTGCTGCCAAAAAGTGGATCCAAAGGCAGTGTAGCTTCAGTATCTTCAATTTCCTGGCTACTGCGACTGTGCTTCTTCTCTGAGTACTCCTCTTAGTATCATGGGATGCGTCCGTCATGGACCATCTGTTCCCTTTGAGCCTTTGGGCTTTTTTGTGACCTTCGCGCAGCAACTGCGCTGCAAACTAAGTTCGCGCACAGTCGCGGGCGCAAATTAGATTCCTGCTTTCCCTGAGGTACAGAAGTTTGTGCCGACATCACGTTTCCACCGGGTGTTGAGCACTGCCAGTGATCGGCACTAGGCGAAAGTGCGCAAGCGGGCATTTGGAAAGGGAGCCCGCTACAACGCAGCGAGCTTCGCTGGCTTCGCACATGGGCAAACGTGTGCGCGGCCGGAGCGGACCGGCGGAACTGGCTGAGAGTGCCAAGACCCAAGGCCACTGAAGCACGGTGCGGCAAACCGGCTTGACCTGCGAGCGAAAGCCGCCAGAAAAGCCCAAAGATGCAGGCCAGCGCGAGCGGCTGAGCGCGTCAGCTGACGTTGAGAAAGCAAGGGAATGCCAGGGACATGGCGCAATGACTGCCATCAGGAGAAACCACAAAAGGGCTCGAAGGTGTGCCTTCTTTCCAACTCCATGTCGGCAGACAGCGTGGAGAGATCAAAGGACCAGCCACTCCACACCGAATAAGAGCAGCCCTGCAACAACTCACTGCAACACGACCGCGGAGCGGGAAGGGCTTCACAGAGAAGGACAAAATTAACAAGAATCCGCGTACATGAAAAAACCGTGGGCAACCACGCCATGGCCCAAACGTGAGAGGAAACCAGCAACGTGAGAGGAAGCCAAAGTTGAGTGTCAAGAGCTGGTAGAGGACATCGCAGTGGTGAAATCAAAG